GCTCATCTGGTCGTGTTTCCTGTCTGGTCTACCTGGGAAGGCTGACAATTGTGCAATTGTGACTAAAATCTTGACTTTTCTTCACGCACATGGACACACATCACTGCTAGGTGAAACTTACACTTGCTGTTTGTAAAGCTGCTTTTCATCTATCAGTATCTAGTAAGAAAAGGCGTGGCTCCTGAGATCTGAGTGAACATATGGAAGTCTCCAAAATTTTAATTATTATGCGAACATTACAATATCTCACTTGAAAACCCTCAAGGAGAGATACTATTTAAGGGGAAAAGCTGATCCTTTAGTTTTGAAGTGAGACAATCCAAGAGACAAATTAATTTTATCTGGTGACACAAAGTCTACACAAAAATTAGCCAGAGGAAGTGAAAACTGGGTGTTTGGGAACCTGAAAAGAGAAAGAGATCAAGTCAGTTTGAAAGACATAACGAAAACACAGACACTCTCTGATCTTGTACCTTGATAACATTTTTATGTCACACATATTGATCATGAAGATTTGCCAGAAACAAAACTGGGGTTTTGAACCAATAACTCAAGAACCTTATAAAGCCAGCTATAGACCACTGTCCTCCAAGTAATCAGAATGGAGAAGAAAGAAGCCTTTCTTGCTCTCCTCTCCAGTATCTATTATGTGTCAGTCACCCAAAGGGTCTTTTTGGGCAGTGACCCCTGTCTGGAAACTTCCTCCCCCAGAAAAAGGTCCCCTATCACTTGTGTTCTGGAGTGTAATCAGGCTTTTCAGCCTGTTTACAACAGGTATGAATGTATTTTTCCCTCTCTTCTTAATCTTTTACCATATTTCATATACATAACTCTGATCTCAACTAATTTTAATAAATACATTCTTCCTCTTTCCACAAGTGTATCCATTAGTACTGAAGGATGACAGGATTGCTGCAGGAATTATACGTGATAGATAGCAACAAAAGAACTGTGTTAAGCAGTAATAGCAGTATCCTATGATTACTGAGAGAACATTTAGACAGACATATATTTACTTTCTATTTTCTCTCTCTTACCATTTTGTGAAGAAGAGGGATTTAATTCTTGACTCTCATATAAAATGATTTGCTGGAGGAATGATCTACCATGAAAAGCATGTGTCCCCTGTTATGATGGTTCCCGCCACATGACAAAGGAGTTAATCATTTGTCCCTGCAAACAACTGAAAAGCCCCCTCAGCACAAAAGTTTCTGGATAAAAGAAAACAGCCACCACTCCATTTCTTTCCTTCTTAATTAAAAAAAAAAAAAACTTTCTTCCCCTCCACCCACTCAGAAATAAAATAGTTGAAATGAAATAAATGTGGGTGAAATGCTTAGAAAATGGTTCTTTGTCGCTTTGATACAATAAGGTCATAATCTGTAAACATGTACTGTTTAAAATCAATGAGGTATGTTTTAGATTTGGATAGCTTTCTCAAAGTGGGAAACATTGTGTGAGAAAACACTCCCACTTCCCAACAGTGCATTTCAGGTCAATTATCATTGTTTCAACATATAGAATAAAGGGTTTTTGTTGTTTTTTTCAAAGAGAGGAATACATTTCAGTGACCTGCAAGTCTAGAAAAGCAGCAAAACTTAGCAATTAACTTCTGACACCTTGAATTTAAGATTTTTTAATCTGCTGATAGAGAACAGCTGGTGAATAACAGGCTTAAGTGCCTGAAAACTTTCTCATCTGAAAACACCCACAAAATCTCTAGTAATAGTCTGCATTACTCTATAGGGTTTTCTCTTTCAGCAGGTAAGAGTATCTGGCTAACCTTCTGTGCTAAGTAGGGTTAGACCTGGTTAGCCTCTGGATGGCAGACCATCAAAGAATCCCAAGGCTATAGGCTAGACTGGGAAGTTCACAAGTATCTTGGAAACAGCCTGGGACAAATCTTTTGTGTGCTGTTATCAAGAAAACTTAATGGTTGTGTCCATGTAGTCACCAAATGGTTTTTGACTTTTTAAAAAACAGGGGTTTCCAAGATCATTGAACTACAAAAATGGCAAGCTACTCTCACTTCCTCCTCCTCTTTTTCTTGATACTGACTTCTTCTGGTGCATATGGAGATCACTTCTCAAAGTCAGTCACAAATGATAACTCACATAGGCGAATGAAGAGAGAGTGGATCTGGAATAAAATGCATATTCCTGAAGAGCAGAATGGGACTCTCCCTCAACATGTTGGAAAGGTATGCATGAATTTAGTAATGGTCAATTAATAGTCATCCACCTGAGGGGCACCTTAAGCAAATTCTTTGCATGGAGAAGGACTTCCCTCTTCCTACTTGCAGTAGCAGTAATCTACCTTCTGCAGAATTGAACACTGGCTTCCAAAATGCAGCCTCATCTCACAGAGCTTCCCTGGGGTTTTGAGATGCAGGAAGCAGATCTTCAGTAGCCCATGATTTCCTGGCTGTCATGGAATTTGATGTCTCATGAGACTTGAGGGAGGCCTATTTCAATCAGCACAATTGTTGGGATGGAAGCAGATTTTTAATGTGGTGTGTCCATGTTCTTCTTTGCAATTGGAAAGCCATGACCCTTTTATTGAAAAGAACTAGGTTGATGGGGTGGGACAAAAACTACTCTTCCAAAAGGCCCTGTGAAACTCCTACTGATTAAAATAGATGACACTGGGCTAGATGGTTGAATTATCTGGTGCGTCAGGAGTCTAATGGTTTTAAGTATGCTTTGTTTCTGCTATAAACTTCTCTAAGTAAAAAATCTTGTTAAAGCCATGAACACTCCTCTTTTTTTAATATACTTTTTCCAACTTTGTAACATGTGATATTTTTACCCCATGAATGGCCTCTCAGTAAAGTCTGAATGCACTCAGGTCCAAGAGCCTATCACAAAAATGTCAAGAAGATACTAGATATGAGAGTTTTCTTGGAAGATCCAATAACAAAAGTACAAAAAAGTACTCTTTGGAGAAAATTCTTGGAAGAAGAGAAAAGGAATTCACTGCATCCTACACAGCTGACTTAATTTAGTTGATAGTCCTTATTCCAGATGCCCGTCTAGTCAACAGTTCTGATTTAGAAAGATCTCACCCCTTTGTCTTGGCAATCTGGCCCTTCCCAGCTAAAGCTGAAAGCAAGAAAAACATGCGTCTGCAGACATTAAAATCAGCTGAACAAAAAGTTTTGTTAGAGCGATTTGCAGGTCACTAATTCTCAAAGGTAACATCCTAATGCAGATATTTCTGCATGTCCCAAGTCTCGCAGATAGTCCCAAGAGGAGCTGCATTTTCAAGTTAAACCTAATAAGATAATGTTATTAAATTTGGACCAAGACTTGAATATACTATTTATATTATATTCAATAAATTATATGTTATATATTAAAAGTCTTCTATAAAACTTTATAAAGAGTTATAAAATTATATAGTAGTAGCAGTAGTAATTTTATTTATTATATGCTTACAACTAAGCACAGTACAGACATAGAATAAATTAACAATTGAAGCAATATTTTATTCCAATTCATCATACCTTTAAAAGATCCATAACTTATAAAAATGACCTCCATACATTAAAATGATATGTAAGAATTTACTTTAAATCAACTTTCCTAAGGGACCATGAATAAGAAGCATTTTAGTGCTTTTTAAAAAACTTCTTCTTAAACTTAGAGTGGTGCCTTCTTAAAGTTTATGAAGCCTTTTGAATGGTCAATATTTCTGCATAAATATGACCTAAAATGTAATCTGTTCTCCACACAAGTCCTAAGCTAGATAAGGAGAACCCAGTTAAACAAATGAGTTAAAAACATTATACTTGTTCATTGATTTATTGAGGAAAATTGATCCAAATTTGGGCCAGCAGCTAAGTATTCTCTGGAAAACAGAGAAAGGATAAGTAGATTATTGATGCCAGAAACGGTAGAGGGATGGCTCTAGATCTCAGGCAGGCAAAACTAGAAATCAGAGAACAATACAGAAAGCTGAGATGCTGCAACATGGGGTAGAACTATGAAATGTTAAAGAATAACAGTGGTGATGTTGATTTTTTTATCATGTTGTCACATCTTTTGAATGTGAATTCTCACATAATTATGCATTCTAGATCACATCAACTGTCAAGAATCCTAATGCCAAGTATGTTCTTGAAGGGGAAGGTGCTGGGTCTTTATTCAGAGTTGATGAATTTACTGGAGATGTATCTGTGAGTGAAACACTGGACCGAGAGAAGAAAGCTGAATACGAGCTCACAGCTCTGATTTTTAATCGTCTTACCAATCAGCAGTTGGAGGAGCCGTCCAAATTCCGCATCATTGTTCATGATATTAATGACAATGCCCCAGTATTTGTTCAAAAGGTGTTTAATGGTTCAGTGGTAGAAATGTCACCAATTGGTAAGTTTTTTACTTCTTATTTTGAAGAAAGATTGTCTAAAATCTAGTAATACGTAGCTGAATAGAAGCGTTGATCCCTCAGTGAGAAAACATCTGAAGCCCTTGCTTGGCTTCTTAATACTTGATATTTGTAGAAACAGGAAAGCTCAAATCAGTACTACTTGCATGGAACTAGTTGTGTGCAACAGTGGATGACTCTGGATAAAGATTGCTTCATCTCTATCTAGAGATGTGTTAATCTAGTTGTGGAACCCATATAAGCATAGGGCTGGGCAGGAAAACATGTCCAATTGCACATTTGCGTTCATGACTGTAATATATACAAAACTTTGGACCTGAATTTATTGTCATCATTTTGACATTCTCACAATACCCCAGAAAAAAACTCTGTAAGTGCATTGGGGAGTATCAATTAGCAGCCTGCAGTTGCCCCCTAAGATCATAATAGCCAGTGGGGACTCAAGCCAATGGGGAGGAGTCTGAGAGCACCTTTTCAGACTAATACATTTTATTAAAAGGCATAAACTTTTGCAAGCTACAGCTCGCTCCATCAGATGCACTTGCTAGCCTGAAAAAATGCTACCAGACTCCACCAGATTCTTTCTAATTTTTTACTACCGTAGATGAACATGGATCTCCTCCTACACAGCCAGTGTGGATGTGATATACTGGATATACAAAGGTGCATTTCAAAATGGAGGGGTCACTTGCCATATTAGAACAGAAGTCTCTAAAGAGTTCTTGCCATGATGTAGAATAGGAGGAGGAAAAGGAAGGAATGGTAGCAGATGGAGAGAAGATCCAAGTTAACTCAAGGGAACCATCTGGCGATAGTTGTATTTATATTGCCATTGCTACTTGCATTAGCCTTCTGTTGACACAAGAAGGTTCAAACAATTCAAATATACACATTATTTGTAATTCTCTCTCTCTTTCTCTTTTTAGGAACATCTGTTACCAAAGTGACAGCTGTAGATTCTGATGACCCAACACTCCATGGTCATGCAGATGTTTTCTATGAAGTTACTGATGGCAAGAACTACTTCAGAATAGATAGCTCAGGTATAGGGTCTGTAAATAAAGTTTGTACAAAAACAAGCAAACACAGCTATCTATGACATTTTTCTGCCCGAGCAAAGGACAAAATGGCAGCTTTTCTCTTTTCCATGTAGAAAAGATTGTTGAGTAGACCTGTTACCACTTAAATTATATTTTTAACTCACCCAACAGCAGGCTGAGTCACACTTCAGGTCTGACAAAGAGGAACCATTCCTTGTCATATCTGGGGCAACTGGCCAGATTTATGATCTAAGTCCTGGAACCCTACTTCTTCTTTTCAAGACTTTTGAGTGTTCTTTCTCTTTTAAATGCATAGAATAATACGCTTCTGTAAACCCAAAGAGTTCTCTAAATTTTTTTCATTGAAAGCAAAAATCCATTCTGGGAGCTTTTTCACTAAAAAAACACTGGTCAAAAATATTGTTAATAAATATACTCTAAGTAAAAGAATTATGACAATTTTAGGACAATTTTTTAAAGCCCAGCTAATGAGAAGCAAATGTTGCTGCTGTTTTTGATATGTTGGCAATACTTTTTTTTTTCAACTATCCCCTTGTGAGCTACAATGGAGTGCAGGAAAGTTGCCCTGAGGAACAGGAAACCAATAGAGTTCTGGTGAAGATTCAGAAATGGCTGTGGGACTATCATTCAGGGAAGCTCTCAGCTTCATATGTCTTCCCAGCTTGAAGAGGTAGCCAGTCAGAGCTCTCCTGCTGTTTCTGTAGTTTCCAGCTATGCAGATATCTCAGGCTTCAGCAACTCTCAGATACAACAGTAAGCAGGTAAAGGTGGAGGTAAAGAATCACCTGGCTCTTTGGCCTTCTTAAGGCTTTGGTTGGGCATTGACCAGTGCTGATCAACAGCTCTTATGCCAGGAAGAGCCCAGACTACAGTTTCCCTCCCTGAGGCCTCTAAGTGCTTCTTCTGTCAAAGCCTCTTCATTATGAGAAGCTCTCCTTCATGGTCTTCCTTGAGGTCCTCAGCTGGGACAGGACAGATGACATCTCTCCATTTCCCAGTAGTTTGTCCGCCTTGCTAGTTGGTGTGTCTGAGCAGCCTTTCCAATGAACCAGGTACCAGTGTGGTTCTCCTGCTTTCAGACTCAGAGGTGTCAAAAAAGTCATGTTGGCAGACATGACACATGATCAAATCCCACCTGTTTTCTACGTTCATTGACTCATGCAACACATGTAAAAAAAAAAAAAAAAGGATGGGGCTTCAATCACAGTCACAATTGCCATCTTGACTTTTTTTCACCCCTACTTCCACAAATGTCCTTGATCAGGCTCTTAGTAGCCAACTCAACTGAAAACAAAATTCCTACAGACATGAGATGGGAAAGAGCTGATAACGATGACTGATGATGAAGATGAAGATGATGATGATGCATACCTTGTCTTCCCTTAATGCAGAAATATTGCTTAAACTATGGTAGAGTTGTGGTTAGATTATGGTTGTAATATCTGATTATTACTCATTTCTTTACACCATCTTGTGATTAGGCATAAAGCACACAAAATAAAATACTATTATTGCTGCTTGAAAAAAAAATGTGCTATCTTCCTTGCTAGGACTTAGCTTCTCATGATCCCAACTCTAACTCAACAAGTTAAGATCAGGAAGAGTACATGCAAGACAGCAACTGGTCTGAGGGCATCACAGCTGCATGCCATTCACTTTTTGGCCTTTTCTGCAAGTAAATTAAAAGTCACAATTACACACATAGCTTCCCAGAGCCTTCTAAAGCCAATTCTCACTTTATGAAGTTCCTTCTGGGCCCACCATTTTGCTTGGAATCGCACCTTCTCTTCACTTCTTCTTTAATGGGCCATCCAGTCAGCATCATGCTCAGATCACTGCAATATAACTCTTTCTATATTGTCCTCCCGCCCCGTGCAAATGTTTGTTTTCCAGTCAGTTTGTAGCAACTTCAGCTGTAAAGACAGCTGCTCTGCCAGCCTGTTCTTTGGTACAGGCAGAAGACAACACAGATGCATGCCAGATTTTCTTTGGGAGACTGGAAGAAGAAAAGGATATGAGGCTAAGACTGAAAAATAATCAGTAAAGTTCTTTTAAAAGAACTGACCAGATGTGATCTTAGCAGCAAGCACCAATCAAGCCTAGCTTTTTTAAAGCAATTGAGTGAGTGAGAAAGTGAGTGAGTGAGTGGGTGAGTGAGTGAATGCTATCATCAGTGTCAATTTTTAGTGAACCCATGTTTTTTTCAGTGATGCTTTCATTGAAGCCATAATCGAGTCCATCCACATAGTTGCTGCCTGTCCTCTTCCTCTTTTTCTTTCAACTTTTCCAAGCATTTTGGACTTCTCAGGGAAATTGGGCCCTCTCATGATATGTCCAAAATATGATAGTCAGAGCCCGGTCATTAGTGCTCCATGTGAGAATCCCAGCTCAATTTGTTCTATGATCCATTTGTTTGTTTTCCTGGCTGACCAGAAGTCTTCTCCAGCACCAAAGTTCAAATGGGTCTTTCTATCCTTTTTTTTTTAATTATTATTATTATATTTCTATCCTGCTTCATCCAAGTCCAACTTTCACATCCATAGAATGTCACAGGAGCAACCATGGCCTGAAGAATTTTAATCTTTGTGCTTTGTTGTTTTAACCACTAGCAGTAAAAATTAAACTCTAGAGTTGAATCTATTGGGAAAAAATAGTGGAAGTGACAAGATAAGCAAACACATATATTTTCTTTTCATTTTTAAGGAACCATCTACACAGCTGTGCCTGATTTGGACAGAGAACAAAAGGCTACATATACCATTCAGGTGAAAGCAAGGGATGGCAAAGGTCTACATGCTGAAGAATTGGGCACTGCTACCGTCATCATTAAACTAATTGATATCAATGACAATTTCCCAACATTTAAACAAAGTGAGTTTTGCAAAGTCAAAGGGCTGAATCTGAAAACGTTCTACCTTTATTTCTGCAGAGTCCAATTAATGTATCATATAAAAATGTAGTGCTTTATTATTGTAGAGGAACTGAAGTTTGGAATGTTTTCATATTCATACGTGATGGTTCAGACACTATAGAACTTGGGCTGGAAGAATGAAATTCACATTGCATTCATCCCTTCCTCCTTGCTGAAAACTCTGTGGGAATCATCGGGTTTTTCAAACTGATTTTGTGGACATCTTTTTCAGAAAACTTCACTTTCGAAGTCCCTGAAAATGTCAGTTTAAATGGCGAAGTTGGTAGATTAAAAGTAGAGGACATCGATGAACCAGAAAACAGGGATACTAAGTATAGCTTTCGCCAAGGGCATTACCAAGACACCTTTAAAATTATACCAAATCGCTACACAAATGAAGGAATAATTCAACCTACAAAGGTATTATTTTTGAAGCTCAATTGATTTTGTGCCTTATGCTATTTACAAGCTGGAATTAGGTCCACTGAGATAATAAAGAGAAGAAAAACAGATAAATTGTGGAATACATATTATAAGGAAAAAAGTAACATTCGAACAATTCTGGCTTTATATGCATTTGTTCTTAAAGTTTGGTGTATTTGTTCTTAAGGCTTCAATTATTATCATTATCATTATCATTATTAATACTGTTTAGCTGTTATAATTTAAAACGTTTCTGGAGCCACACTAGTAAGGTTTCAATATGCAAGTGAGATGGGTGGCTATATCAATTGAATAAATATATAAATACATACATACATACATACATACATACATACATAAGACTGACAAAACAACATCAGTTAAAACTGCTTGAAGCAGTTGGGTTTTCAAAGCCCTTTTAGGACAAAGAAGATAATTGTAAGATAATCTCTTGCAAGGGAGTTCCAAATAGTAAAAGCCATTTTTGTATTTTCAATCAAATTTCAATAAAAATAGAATCAAATTTAATTTGTGTCCTGGCTTCACATGTTTGGAGGAATGTGGCTCAAAGGTCATGGGGGTGTCAGCTCAAAAAAGTTGCCTCCCCCCCGAAAAAACAATATTAGCTTTGCCAATCAGTTTCCGTTGCCTTTGTGAACTGAACATGTCTACATTTTCATTTAGCCCTTGGACTTTGAAAAGATACCTGTATACAGGTTTGTGGTTGAAGCTACTGATGCAAATATCAACTATGCATATTCCATGCGGAAGAGTCCTGAGAGCATTGCAAGTGTAATTATCAAGGTGATTGATGTTGATGAACCTCCAGTTTTCACCCAGCCTTCCTATACATTCACTGTACAAGAAGAAGGTGCAATCAAGATGCCTGTTGGGTGTGTTTCTGCAAGTGACCCTGACAAAGCCAAGCGGAAAATAAGGTAACAGAAAGTGATCTGATCATATCCTGAAAGTGTCTTCTGAATAAAATAAAATAAAAAAAAAGCCTAGAGATTCAATGCCATAACATGGCATTAAAGTGCATTTAGCATGCTTCTTTTTTATTTATTGCAAAGATCAGCAGCTGGGGAAGACTGACCATCAAGGTTACAGGAAGTTTGGAGAAGAAAATGTATTGTTTTCTTTCCCTTCCTGCTTCATTCCTAAGGAGAATCACTACTCGGATGCCTCAATTTGCACTCCAAAAAGAATTCCTCAAGGTTATGAACAGCCTTTGGTAGATCAACTATTGACACATCCAACCGTCAGGAACCAAAAGTCATCGACCCCTGATCAATCACCCGATTAAATTTGGGGCCCTCACCACAGGATTCCATCTCTTTAGAATCTGCCAAAGAGTTGAATTGTAAGGGCGTTTCATGCTTTTCTTCTTTTGCCCTGTTAAAAAAGGCATTTATGTACAATCTGGAAAAGAAATGGAGGTGATATTCACGCATTCTGTTAGAGTGGGCAACAATGGGGTTAGGTAGTTCATAGCTCAGGGTGTTAGGGCAAGTGAAGCCACGGTCCTGGCATGTCTTGTGAATCAGACCATCCCATTATGTCATCACATGGACATATATTTCTTTTTGGCATAACATTTTGCAAGCGCTTTTGCCATATCATTGCAGGGTTAGCTTTCCTTGTCTTATAGTAACCCCGTTCTTATGAGGCTCAGTACTATTACGTTGATTTTTTTCTTTATACTCACCATAGTTACCATATCCTACGATCCACTTCTTTTGAAATAAGTACCAATGGGTGTATTTTTGCCACAAAGCGTCTGGACAGAGAAGAAAACACCTGGCATAACATAACTGTAGCAGCCAACGAGCTGGACCAAAACAGTAAGTATTCCCCTGTATCATCTACAAGTTGATGAGTGTGTCACCCCTGCTGACTTTCAGGTCCTTTCAGTTACAAATTGAATAAATAGATAGCAATAAACAATAGGATTGTGCAGCACGTAGGATATGGATTTGAAAAAGCAAGGGTGCTTTTGACAGTAGAGCAGCACCCACGAAGCAGCTATTGGCAGTTCCTTAAAGCAGACACACCTTTTCCTGGAAACACACTGCATCTGGTCCAGGGCAGATACCCAAACATCTGGGACAAGATGTAGTTGCTTGAAGGAATTGCAAACAGATGTTACATGACCGCATGCTCTTAAGCACATTTTCCCCTTTGAATCTGAAGCACTGCACAGCCCTAGTAAATAACTATCTGCTGTAAACATTTCAGCTAATTGCCTGCCTGGAAAATCCAACACTTGTTGGAGCAGTTCTGAAGTAACTTCTAAATCAGCTATAAGCCAGGGACATAGTCTTGCGCGAGTTCAGTAGGGAAGTTTGCTTCTTGACAATTGACTAATAGGGAACAGCAATAGGAGTTTAAGAACTTGTTTTAAATTAAATCTGATCATCTTCTGCTCAGTATTATCCACAATGATTGGCAGTAACTCTCCAGGGTTTTGAACCAGGAATCATTCCTAGTCCAATCTGGAAGTGCCAGGGAGAACATTTGGGACCTTTTGCATGCAAAGGACTGGGTACTGCCACAGCAAAGATTCTACTCAGCCAGGGCAATAGAAGAATGGAAGAAAGGGGTACAGTAGTTACTTTGCTCAGTATGCTTAACCAGGTCAGTTAAAGGCCTTGCAGCTGCCTTTACACAAAATTAACTTGGTTGGTTTTTTTATCACTTCACTTAGTGTATTGCACAAACCCACCTTGTGTGATTATGGTTCAATATACTGGATGAACTCTGAAAATTGGACAATTCAGTAACCAAGCATATTGTGCTAAGACCATTTCTATTCTCCTGAAAACTTTCTTTAAGCCTGTCTTTAGTTTTGGGACTAAAGAGCTCAATTTGGGGAAATTCTCTCTAGGCTGGTTTGTATATACATGCTCATAAGTTACTACAGCATCCAGCTATGACAAGGCTATGTGAGTGAGGCTTCCCACAATAAATGCTTTTTCTTACCTCTTAGTAGCATCTCAGAGAATGGCATTCACATTCTAGTCTGAAGATACAGGACAGCATCATGCAACCGTGTCTGATATTCAGGCTGTTTACTTTATACCAGTAATAGCTGGTTTTGTAGAAGTTGTAAACTCCTTTGGAATTCTTATAATAAGGAGCAGAATGTAAATATTTTAAATAAATAGACAAAAATTATGCATTCTCTTCCACCATTTCAGATGCCATGGGGGTAGGGAGTGAATAGAGATTAGGATGAATTGCTGTTTCTTCAGCCAAATATCTGAAGCTGTGCCGAAGGGTTTCATGTGAAATCTAGAATCATGCATTTCCAGGGTTCTAGACCATGTGAATAGAGCCCTGAGCAACCATGCAAAGAAATATGTGTAAGTTGTAGATGGGGTCTTCCAATAAGATTCTCCCATTCATTGTATTTACTTCTCATCGTGATATGATCTGAACTGTGTTTGATTCTAATTGGTTTCAGGGTGATATTTGGTTAATAAATCTATGATTTTTTTTCTTGTTTCAGAAAAGGTAGTACCTAGATTAGAAACCCATGTGCCAGTTTATATTAAAGTTACGGATATAAATGACAACGCCCCAGAATTTGCTTTTCCATATGATCCACGTGTGTGTGAAAATGCTGCCCCAGGTCAGGTAAAGTATCAGAAAAAAACTGTTCTTTCTACTTAGCTCCAGAACTCTACAGTTGACTAAAGATCCATACCTTTCTCAGTTCCTCTCTTTGAAGAAACAAACTTTATGTTGAAAAAGATCTTCAGTACCACTGGTTCTTTAAGTGGCACAGCATAAAAGTACACTCGTTAAAGAAAGATTGTTAACCCTACTGCATTTTGATAGGCCCTATCAACGGGATATATGGGCTAGTTGGTGTGGGCCTTGAGATCCAAAGGAGTCCCAAATTTAAATATACGCTTATTTTTCTTATTCAGAAAAAAAGTCAGATTTAGGCCTCCTTTTTTATGACTTATTTTGTTTCCGTGCGTTGCCCTTTCAATTGTTATTACATTATGGGTTTCAAAAGCTGAAAGCTGGACCTATCTGGATCTCTGAAAGGGCCTGCATTTTGAGGCAGTGAAATTCTAAGTGACCATTTTAGAGGTGTCCAAGGCTAGAACATAAGCAGGATATATATAAATCATGGGTTTGATCCTGAAGGCAGCTCAGATTGTTGGACTTCACGACTATCCAGATACTTGACTTCTCATGTTCAGTAACCAGCTCACAAGTCAGTAAAGCACTGTTAGATAAAAGTTTAGTTGCAAACTAGAAGAAGTTGAGTCTATGCAGAAGGTCATCTACAGTACTATGAAGTTCAGGAATCTAGTTGTATTTATATGGGGGGAGAGAGAGCACACTAGGACTGAAATCCTAGTTCTCTTTCTTCTGCCATTTCATGGTAACGAACTTTTTGCTGCTGTCTTCCCACACTGGTATTTGGAGGCCAGCTGTGCACCACGTTTACATAATGGTCTTGTCTGATCTAAGCCTCTTTTTTTCTTGCTTTGCCAGCTTCAATCCTGGCGCTGCAAGTGTAAAAGAGTTATGCCCATAGGGAAGGTTCCCTCAAGTCTAGCTTGTCCGCTAGTGTCTCTATGTCCATGTGATATTCTTGGCAATAATACAGACAAAAAATTGTCGTTGCCTTTTTCTCAGATACTTTTTCAACTTCCTAGTGTGGGCTATAGCTCTGAGTTTTTCTGCTGGTCTCCCATCCAAGTATTCATCAGGTCCAACCCTGCTTAGCTTTCTAAGATCAGCCAATGCTGATGCTAATATCACACTTATGGCATAGCTTTTCCTTAGTAGTCATCTGTGAGACGTCTTCACAAAATGCCACATAGGTACAATTGGGTTTCCTGATATACAAGTACTTCATTACAGCTGAGTTCACATATAATGCTAAACCTGAATGTGTTTATTTTATTTAGCTTTCACTTAGCATATTGCATGAATTCAGTCAATGATCGTTTGTAAGCCATGCTTTATGATGTGATGTATTGTGTGGCTTCAGCCAATTATGGTTTATTAAACAAACCATGGTAAATGCAATATGTGCATCCAGTCTACAGGCATATTTTCCCCGTTGATGTTCTACTGCTATGTTTCCCTTCATAGAACTTTTCACAGGAGTCATCTTCTGCTATCAGTGCAGTGACAGCTTGCGGGACGTGACCACTCTTGGAAGAGAAATGTTACCCAGAGCAGAATTATTCAAAGGGGTTATTCAGGTTTTTGCTCACAAGACCAAACCATGCCTTTGATAAGGACAGTGCATTTGTTCAATAATCCCTATGGATTTGTTGAAAATAATGGAGTATATGACCTTTTTCTATTCATAAAGGTGATCATAAGAATTTCTGCCACGGACAAGGATGAAATGTCACCAGACGTGAAATTCAAGTTTTTCTTGACTTCTGAAGACAGCAATTTTACCCTCATTGGCAATCATGGTGCGTTTCTGTAGAATACATGCAATGAGAAAGGAAAGCAGAGCAGAAACTTCAAATAACCCTCTTACAAATGCAACAGGGGTGACAAACCTGCAGATGGCCTTCTGAGCTCCTTTCTTACAGCTCCCAGAGCAGCCAAAATTGTTGATGCCAACCCATAGGGTTGTTTACAGGTTAACAGAACTAAACAACTAACAAATCTGATAAGCTCCAAAAGTTCAGCTAGCATAGCTTACTATTTAAAAGGGGGGGCACAAACATTTTAGCCCTGTCTTCCTGGTATTCTCCATAGCTTACCCCAACCCCCTATGGCCCTGTTCATATCCCTGCATCATTGCCAGGAGAATAACAACAGCAGTTGCTCCAAGATATTTTATAAGAAGGGGTACAAGTATGTTTTGATACATGAACTAGCTGAAATATATCTTTGTGACAGTCTCAAAGTGGAAGGAAGACTTTGCATTTCTAATGCATTAGGACAGGGACAGCTCCCCCAACCAGCTGGAGAATCACAGATCTTGTCCCCAGAATGGGCAAATCTGATTTGATTTTAGCCGGGGGGCAGGGAGACTTGCTGGGTTCTGAAAGTTGGGAATTGGAGAAGGGAGATCCTGGGAGGCAATCCAATTCCATCTCCACCATTAAAAATCCCCAAGCTTCCATAATCATCCAGCTGAAATTTGGCAGCAAAACAAAACATCCTTATTTTTGAAGGAAAACAAAACAAAATAAGGTGTTGCCATGAAACTTCAAAGGCACGATCTCTGGGCGCTAAAGGCTGCACTTACATGGGGCATTGGAAGCCAAATCCAGCCTGTCACTTGACCAGTGCTAAATTAAGAAGCTTCTAGAAGGGTGCTTTCCTTCTACCCAAAAATTGTCTGGGTTCCATAAGTGGTTATTGGAGTTGATATTATGTGCAGTAAGTCTCTAAAACAATCACTTTTTGATCATTTAACTGCATGCTGTTGCATTCCCCAGATAACACTGCAAATGTCACTGTCAAGTTTGGAGAGTTCAATCGAGAGCTTGTCAAAACTCATTTCTTGCCTATCATCATCTCCGACAATGGGGCGCCACCGCAGACCAGCACAAACACCCTTACCCTCCGGGTCTGCAAATGTGACGAGGAAGGTGATTTCACTTTTTGCGAAGAGCCAGCAAAACTAGTGGGAGTCGGCCTCCAAGTGTTGTTGGCTATCCTTTTCTGCATCTTCACCATCCTTGGTAAATCAATCTTTGTCTCTCTTTGCTTCTCCCTTTCCACTTTGAATGGGCAGGGTAGAAGGGAACTTAACACAGATAGCAACCAGTGTGATGCTGGTTTTCCTCTTCTCAGTATTAATTTGGCCTTGTATAATTCATAAAATAGCCACCACAGAAGCAACAAACAGCAAGAGGGTTTAAAAAAAAAAATTAAAAATTACCAGCTAGCAGAGGCAATGCAGCTAATATAAATTGTCTGAGCAAATAAAAATGTCTTAACATGGTTTCCAAAAGTGTATGAAGACAGTGCCAATCAAACTTTCCTCCAAAAGCTATTCTTTAATCAGATTGCCAAAGGCTCTCCTCTTTGGTCATCCATAATGTACTAATCATGGCTCTCTGCTGAAACCCTTAACCGAGATGCAGGTTGGAATAGAAGAAAATGCCCTCTGATATTTGGCAATGCTGTTCTTAAAACAACTTGGCAATTTCTTAGAAGTTTTCTTCCCCTGCAGAAAAAGTCTTCTGCTTTTTCCCTTATTGTCAGGGTACATGAGGATTCCTTTAGAATTTCTCCAGCTTTACACATCTTTGAAGATGGTAGAGGAACCTAGTACTCCTCTGCTGTTTCTTTCCATTTTTTTAAACTTCCTTTGCACCACTCACTTCCGAAGCCAAAAACAGTTGGAGTTTAACTGAAGCCTGTGAACCTGGGTGGCAGCAGATCACTGGAGAGAGACAGTGCCATGAAAGATCAGATATGCACAGATACTCCTTGGCAAGACGCTATGTTACATTCACATGAACATCCCAATTCTCTTTTCTTCAGGAAGAAATGTCAAAACAAATTATTTTTCACCAGAGTGAAGGAGAACCAGTAGAAGAATTGCAGGAGTGTTCAAAGCATTTTTGAAAATAGAATAAAACTCCATAAAGATGTCTCACCAGAGATAACTCTCCTTAAAATGGCTCGCATGCCATCCTGGCCCAGTGCCTGAGAAAGAAAAACAGATCTTCAAGGCTTTGCTGAAGGCTAGCAGAGTTGGGGCCATCCAAATCTCAAAGGGGATGCTGTCTGATAGGGCAGGTGTAGTGACAGAGAAGGTATGCCTCCCAAGTCTCATCAGATGAAAATGCTTGTATTTAAACCCAACCATTTAGTGTTTAAAGGTAAGCACTTGAAACTGACCATGTGGAAGATATCTAATTCCCATCATAGTGAAAACATCTGGAAAGAATCAAGGAATCAAAGAATCAAAATCATAGAAAAAGTTTATGTTTTCTGTTCATCTACATTTTTCCCCATGTTTTAATTATTTATTTATTCATTTATTTTTACAGCATTAACTATGCTGCTGATAGTCTGGAGGAGAGGACACAAGAAAGATCTAAGTGTTCTCAGGAAGAATGAGGAAGAGATCCATGAGCAGCTGGTGGCCTATGATGAAGAAGGTGGTGGTGAAATGGATACCACCAGTTACGACGTCTCCGTTCTCAATTCAGTCCGCCAGAGGAGCATAACTTCCCCAAGAATGACCAGGGAGGCCTCATCTTGCAATTATCCTCAGGTACAAAAGATCCCCGAGAATGGACTTTCAGGCACTGGAGAAATGGGCATTATGATTGAGATGAAAAAATATGAAGCTGATAATGATGGAGATTTGTTGCCATATGACACCCTTCACATATTTGGCTATGAAGGGGCTGAGTCCATTGCGGAATCTCTAAGTTCCCTGGGTTCAGGGTCCTCGGACTTGGATATTGATTATGATTTTCTCAATGATTGGGGTCCCCGATTTAAAATGCTGGCAGAGCTTTATGGGCTGGAACCTAATGGAGATCTGGTGTACTGAGGGTGGTCAATGGCAGATTATCCCAGCCCTGTCCATAAACAATAAAACTGAAAGACTGTTCAGAAAGCAGAATCAATCTTTATGCATTCCTCATACAAAAAATCAGATTTTCATACATTTTCAGAGCAGATTGAGATAACCTATGTGAAAGAAGCTATAAACAAAATCAGGTCTGTAGATATTAAAAAAAAAAAATGGAAATGCCATTGTACTGGGGGATTGAAAAATGTTTCTCCGTATATAAAAATCCAATGTTTAAATGTTTTTAAAATACTGTGGTTCTTGCCTGTTATAAGAAAGCTTAGATGATGGCTTGCCTGTCCTGATTGTTGCAAGTATTCTAATTAAATGTATTTTTAGTTACAATCTTTTACTGAATGAATTATCTCAACAGCCCTGTGATACTTTTACATATTTGTTATTGGTGCTAATGAACAGCCAGTGAAGAACTGGCATCTGAGCTCATGTAAAAGACTCAGGTCCCAAATCAAAGTCTCTACTAAACCCCCCAGAAGACCATGTTTCAGTCCACTTCCATATAACCACCCCAACTATTTGTAGTCAGAGCAGGCATGGACAGAACAACAACAATTAAAATCTTCACTAACATCAGTCCCACCAAAACCTATCCATTGTTGTAGATTTCAAAGGTTCACTCTGACACCATTACATGGTTTTTACTTAGACATCCATTTTTACTCATTAAAAAAGCTACATTTTCAAACACAGCTAAAGACATCGAGTTACTGCAGGAAACTACCCAAAGTGAACAGCCTCATTAAATGTGAAACTATCTTAATTATTTTCTTCTTGTAGATTACTTTTTCCTTACAGGTACTGTGAAATGGGGTATTTTCTCATGAAGTTGCTGGCACTCACAAATGTAAATAGCAGATACATTTCTGATCTGACAGTTCCAGGAGGAGGATAGACCCTTCCCTAATAATGTGATCATTCTTCTGTTTTTTAACTTTCTAGTCTGCTGAATAAGCCCCATGGCTTAACTTGTAAGTGTTGCTCATTCATCATGGAACACTACAGGAGTTCTCCCTCAAAAATCTGAGAATTGCAGTTTTGTGAGGATTGGGAATTCCTAAGCTAATTATTAGGAGTAAGCAGCCTCAGGCATATACTGAGGTCCATGTCGTAGCAGGAGGAAACTTCTGATTCTGCTAAAACCTTGCTTTGCCTGACTGGCTATTCTTTTTTAGGACATGAGTAATGACAAGAACAAGCAGAAGGAGGAAAATCCACAACACACTTTGTTTTGCTTTCTGGCTTGTGTTTGCAACCAGAAGGATAAGCAAATCAGCAGCAACATTGGGGATGAGTAGGTAGGGCTCCTGGGGGGCAGGGATGAATCCAAATCTTTGGAGAAGATATGAAGGGTTCTCTAATGCACAATTTTGTTCAACAGCAACCTCACCCATCTAGAATTTCTCCGTTTCTTTGTAGAAAGCCCTAATTGTCAGATGACCAATTTAGGAAATGTCAACATGCTACAGAGTTGAAGTTACCTTAGACAGTAGCTATGCCATAACACAGGGATCCCCCAGCCTTTATGGGTCATAAGGCACATTTGGAATTTTGAGTTATAGGCACCCTGACAAAATGGCGGTCATGGTGGATGTCTACAGTATGTCCACATCTAGTCATCACATTTGAAAAAGGATATAATAAAACTGGGAAAAAAAGTACAGAAGAGGACAACTGAAATGATCAGAAGGCTCAAACAGCTTCTGTATCAGACCTATATGGCCCATAAAGGCTAGAATGATTGGCAACTTTGGCTTAGAAAAAAAGACAACTGAAGTGTATAAAAACAAAGTGAATAAAATCATGTGTGGCTTGGAGAAAGTGGATGAGCAGAAGCTTTTAACCCTCTCATATCATCCACATCATCACCCAAAGAAATTTAGAACAGACAAAAGAAAACATTTATTCGCACTACAAATAATAAACTGGTGGACTTCATCACCACAAAATGTAATGAAGGCCACTCATTTGGATGGCTTTAAAAGAGAATTGGACAATTAATGGAGGACAAGTACTGTACATCTTGAGAACTCTGGGTTAGCTCTGGGTTTTGGCAATATGCCCCTAAACACCAGTTGCAGAGGAATAAGGGTGGGACAAGGATACGTCTCCGTCCCCATTTGTGAGAGTGGCATTTGATTGACCACTCTGAGAAACAAGAGGTTGAACTCAAATAGCCCTTTGATTCAGATGTTGAAGTCAAATAGCTGTTTGATTCTGACAGCCTTATCAGATATAATGCAAAGTATTTTGTCAAGGTGGTAATGATTGAAGTTAGTGATTGGAAGAACCTGAACTCTTTGCACTTCATAACATTCTGACAAGTGATTGTGTACCATAAAGATCACCTTATCATCTTAAAATTGTGCTTTTTGCCTATTATGCCATTTTTTATGTATAAAGTATGTCTTTTACCTACCAAATACAAGTGCATGGGTGTAATCTTTCCCTAATCACCATTTCTGAGTATTCTGTAATTAAAGGTATTCTATGCACAGCGACATTTATTCCTGTCCAGATGTTACCGTGTATATATATATGTAGGTAGGTAGGTAGGTAGGTAGGTAGGTAGAGAAATAGGTTAGCTATCCAACCAAATTGATTATAATATTTATGTCCCTCTCTGACAGCCATAGCAGGTACATTCCTAGTTTGTCATTGGAAATTAATTCCAAGTATACATTGCTCTCTGGATGCATTTGCTTAGTGATCTGTCTTCTGATGTATGCCTTAGCACTAAGGTTCCTTAAAAGAATTGATGTGGCAATGATGGGATATCCATATTAAACTATTACCTCCAGAAGCTAGCTGTGCCATCGGGACAGAACTCTAGAGCAGCAAACTAGAACCACACTCAATAAAATGAGCCAAAATGATTAAGGGCTAAAGATAATTAAGAATACCACTGATAGCGATTGATGAGAACCCAGCAGTTTGCATACAACAGCTTGTTACATGAGCTACAAAATTTCTCAACAGCCTCATATACTCATTATTACTAATTATGCATAAAATCACTCAGACTGAATGTTGAGAACTGATTTGGGAGGGGGAGGAAGAAATAAAATTTTGTATCTACCATGTGGTACAAAGTCACATGGAACTCAGTAGAACATACTTCTGAGAAAAGATATATAGTGCAGTGCTGTCTTTTTTAATGTATCCCCAAACTCCTGGTTCCTATTGAAGAATATATTTGTGTTTTCTGAAATATACTACTAACAAACATATTCTTTTATAATTAATATGCTTGATATGTAACCTTGGGATTATTATTTAGAACAACTGTAATGACTTTGCAAACAATTATCAAGATTTCAAGTATCCTGTGATTCATGTATTTTGTACTCTACCACACAGGTCATAATTTCTATTGTACCTCAATGATTTTTGCACTGGATATAGTGTCATTTTCTATTTATGTTGAGAGGGTTTTTTTTTAATTACATAGAAACCAGAGTTAACTGTATTTGTCCATCAGTAAAACATTCAATCAGGTTTACAGAACCTTAAATGCATTTCTATCAACAAAGTCCTCTCCATACATCAGCTGGAACACCAGAAAGTAGGAGTTGGCTATCTTCTCAGAAAACAATGGGGCTGAATCATGCCTGCATATTATTTCTTATGATAAAGAGCTAGAGGCTCATCTTTTTGGTCCAAGCTGAAGTTTAGAGTCCTCCACTATTCCAAAGGAAGGAAGGTCCTGAAACCCTCCTCCTTCTGCATTTCCTACAACATTTCTCCAAAGAACAGACATGATCCTCAGGATCTCTCCAGAAGTTGCCAGTGAACTGAAATGCTCAATGTGGCAGAAGAGGAGAGGGGAGTTATCAAATAGTTGGGAAGTCATTACCTTAACTATACTTATTTGATTTAGTTAAGTGCAATATGAACTAAAATGAAAATTTCATTGTTGCCTGGCTCCCCAAGATTTTTTATGTGGCCTTTGGCATGCCCCCTCAAGACTGAGTGTGGCCCTTGGCCCAAGAAAAGTTGCACATTCAGCACTCCCTGTTTGATGGCTTAGCACAGTAGTGCTAAGCCATCAAACAGGATTACTCCAAAGCCAACAGGCTGCCTAAGCAGAATATAGATATATACCCTTGAACAGCTATTTAAAGCCCATCTCTCCCATCACCAATTCTTAAAGATATTGACTACCTATCAAGATTTCCATCCATCCCATGATCTGGGTAGAAAAAAAGTCAAGAGATGAGAATATTTCTTTAGCAACCACTGTTCTTCATTTAAGAGATGCTTGATGAAATGATACTATGGTGAGAGACTATCACGTAGTGCCAGGCTTGTAGGCTAGTCAGGGGGGAAAAAAAGAAAAAGAACTTCAAAGAAAGCATTTCCATATTGCAGCCAATAAATAGTCACAAATCAAGGTTGACTTGGGGGAATCTTTACTTGTTATCTTATGAAATACTTGCTGACACCTGGCATCTTAGATAAGATAGATCAGATAAGAACTACTGAATTAATCTTCAGCTTGGGACACCTTCTAAAATAATCATTAGGTGACTTGACCTAGTTTCAGTGGATGCTGAAAGTCATTTTTCCTCTAAAAATGCAAGGGAGAATTTTAAAAAACCCACATGTACTGAGGAAAGGCTGGTATTAGGCCCAAGCAGGGGCAGGCAATTCACTAATCTCCCTTTTTTCTTTTTTCCCCAAAACAAGGGAAGTCCCAGACCTTTGGTAGCTGCTTGAAAGTGATTTTTTTCCCCTAAGCACAAATCTCCTCCCCCCAGTTCTCTTTAGCAAGATTCAGATGAAAGTGAGCATCGCAAGAATTCTAGCAAGTGAACTGTTTCCAAATTAGAACCAGTATATCTAGGTCTACATTAGGACCAAGATTTTCTGAGTCTTTCTCACAGCTTTCCTGTGCACTGAAGAGGAAGTAGATTTGATAAAAGTGAAGTTTGCAGCTGTGGGTTATTTACCCCACAGTTATTTCAAACAATGTTAGTTTGAGAGCCACCTCTTGCAGAAATAGCAGCAGAAAGAGAAGCCAAGCCAGGAATTTATTTATTTGTATTATTTGCTTATTAATTCAATTTGTATGACCGCCCACCTCAACAAGCGACTCTGGGCAATAAACAAAATTAAAGTAAAAACAATTGCAACAATATAAAAATTAAAATACACAGCAGCTGAGAATAAATCACCCATCATATTAGTTAAATTAAGAAAGAAACGGGTCCCTGCACACACTTGGGGCCCCAAGCCTGGGCACAGAGCCTGATCTTTAAGACCTTATGAAAAGCCAGCAGGGTCTGGGCCATCCTGATCTCTGGAGGGAGAATGTCCCGTAAGGCAGGAAAGGCACATCTTCTAGGCCCTGCCAACTGGCATTCCTTAGCTGACGGGACCCAAAGCATGCCCATCCTGCCTGACTGGATTGGGCGGGTGGAGAAAACTGGGGAGAGATGGTCCCTCCAGCAATCTGATGCCAAGCCCTGAAGGGCTTTAAAGGCAACAACCAGCACCTTGAATCATACCCGGAAGCACACGGGCATCCAATGCAGTTCACAGCATAGTGGTGTTATATGCACTAAATAACCAACACCATTTACTACCCATGCTGCTGCATTCTGCCCCAGTTGAAGTTTCTGAATGCTCTTCAAGGGCAGCCCCACGTAGAGTGCATTGCAGTAGTCCAGACGGGAGGTCACAAGGGCATGAGTGACAGTGAGCAATCAAACAATTAAATCAAAACAAGCCATGATTTCTTTATCGGTCGGTGATTTATGCAGCAGTCGTTAAGTGAGTCGCATGGTTAAGTGAATTGCATGGTTGTTAAGTGAATCACATAGTCATTAAGTGAACAGTGTGGGTCCCCATTGATTTTGCTTGTTGGAAGCCAGCTGGGAAGCTTGCAAATGGTGATCATGTGACCCCAGGATGCTGCAACCTTCTTTAAATCCTTCCCGGTAGCCAAGTGCCCAAATTTTGTTCATGTGACCTTGGGGATGCTGCCACAGTCATAAGTGCAAGGACTGGTCATCAGTCATTTCTTTCAGCACTGTCATAACTTAGAACACTCGCTAAACAAATGGTCATAAGTCGAGGATGTATCCTCTTTTCTAGAGTCCCAGGCTAAAGGGAAGCTTATAAAAAGAAATCCTCTTGAGCATCACTTTTCTACTTAATTCTCCTTGCTCCATTACTTTAAATAAATCAAAAAGTTCAGAATCATCAATTCCCTGAGTAATCTGTCAAAAATGGCCTTTTAAGTGAGCCTTCAGAACCATCAGCATATTTGCAGGATAATGAAACTGAACA